TATGGTTTAAAACAAGCTCCTAGACAGTGGTACAAGAAGTTCGATAGCTTCATGAGTAGCATTGGTTTTACCAGATGCCAAGCAGATCATTGTTGCTACATCAAGAGGTTCGACAACAACTTCATTATTTTATTATTGTACGTTGATGACATGCTCGTTGCAGGCTCAAACATGCAAGAGATTATACACTTGAAGTAAAAATTGTCGAAGCAGTTTGCTATGAATGATCTGGGCGCTGCAAAGCAGATTCTTGGGATAAAGATTAAGAGAGACACAAAGTCGGGGACTTTGATGTTATCACAGGCTGAGTACATCAACAAAGTACTCTCCAGGTTCAACATGCAAGATGCTAAACCAGTAAGTACACCTTTAGGTGTTCATTTTAGACTCTCCAAAGAACAATCACCAAAGACGGAGGAAGAACGTGCACACATGGTGAAGGTGTCGTATGCCTCATCAATTAGAAGTCTGATGTATGACGTGGTTTGTACCAGACCAGATATTGCTCAAGCAGTGGGAGCTGTTAGTAGGTACATGAATAATCCGGGCAAGGTACACTGGGAAGCAGTCAAATGGATCCTCAGATATCTGCGGGATACCACAAACAAAGCACTTTGTTTCAAAGGTGGAGATACAATACTGACAGGCTATGTAGATGTTGACTTAGTCGAAAATATCGACATCAGAAGAAGCACTACAGGGTATGTCTATACTCTAGGAGAAACTGCAGTGAGTTGGGTTTCTCAACTACAGAAGATAGTTGCTCTCTCCAAAACTGAAGCAGAATATGTCGATGTTATGGAAGCCATCAAGGAGATGGTCTGGCTCCAAAGTTTCTTGGAAGAGTTAGGTAAGAAACAAGAAAACAATGTCTTGTATTGCGACAGTCAAAGTGTTATCCATCTAGCGAAGAATCCGTCTTTTCATTTCAGAATGAAGCACATACAATTGCGATATCATTTTATTCGGTCTCTTCTGGAATATGGGATTTTGAAATTGGAAAAGCTTAAAATCTGGAAGACATGTTAACAAAGACGGTGACTACGGACAAACTGAAGCTGTGTTCAGCTTCAGTTGGTATGCTAGAGTAACAAGACTATAAAAGTTGTTGCATTAATCGAGGTGTGAAGACAGACTAAAATCAGTCTTCAAGTGGAAGATTGTAAAGTCAAAATAGGAGGCAAATGAGGGGCTGAAGCAAATAGGGGTGCCGTCGAATTCGGTGCATTTATTATTATTTTTTGGGTTAATTAATTTTTAGTCCCTGTATACTTTAGGGTATTTACAATATTAGTCATTAAGCTTCAACTATAAATACCCTAACCCATTTAGCTTCAAAATCATCCCAAATCATTTTTTTCTCCAAATACTAGAGAGCTTTCTTGTGAGTAGTGAGTGTTTTGTAAACACCTGTAAATTTCTCTCTTAGTAAAATATCTGCAGCAGTCCGGAGACGTATGCATAATTGGATGAACTCCGTTATCAATTTCGGGTATTATTTTTCCGCTTTTATTTTGCATTCTCACTAATCTATCTATAGGGAAATTACTTGTTCTCGTTTATTTCCCAACACATACATATGTATCTCAGAAATAAATAAAAAACTATAAATATTATAACAATTTATCAATATAAGATCATAACTTGCATACATGTGAAATTCAATGTCATATAGAATAAGATCTTTACATGCCTTATTATGGTTATATAACTTAATACATGTCATCATAATTTAGTGGAAAATTTAGAAAAGTACTCAAGTTTCATGAAAGTGTATGTGCGTAACTTGAATTTTATCAATTGTTTTAGTGTAAAATTTGATAAATATTTGGTGTAATACATAAATTTTAATTTATTGTAATTATATACACAATATTTTAATTTTAATTTAATTATATGTAGTAAAAATTAAATATAATAATTATACACATGAAACATTATTTTTTGTTCAATTATATAAAAGTAAATATAATTATTTATTTACATACTAAATAAATATAAATAGTTATGTATATAATATATAAATATTTATTTATATAATGGTGTTATATAAATAATGGTATTAGTAATTTATAAATTTAAATCAAATAGAAATTCTATATAGAATTTTTAAAAAAATAAATGAAGTTGATATAGAAAGTTAAATATTACTTTTGATATGTATCTATCTAAATAATCCCTCCCACGATTTCATTATAGGGTAAATTATGAGTTTAGTACTTAAACTATTAGTTTTGGTCTATTTTAATACATAAATTTTTAATTTTTTCAAAAATGATAACTTAAATTTAGTTTTAGTTTCGTTATAAAAGGGCCAAAACTGATAGTTTATGTATGAGTTTGAAAAAATTAAAAAATTATGTATTAAAACGGATCAGAAAAAGTGGTCCCCATATATATTATACGGCTACCCTTGGCCATTCTCAGCCAACGATACTTGATCTTGTTACGTGATTCAGAATCCGAAGGACTTGTCTATAAAAGCTCTTCACTCTCCTAATAGGCTAATACATCGAAGAAGAAAAATCAACATATACTATGAGGCCTTCACTTTCATTTTCATGCTTTCTTCTCATCGTAGCTCTTGTCCAATTCATTGCCTTTTCTTCCTCGTCTGAGCAGCCATCAATGCTTTGTCACAGCGATGAGCGTCTTGCTTTGATGCAGTTCAAGGAGAGCTTGGAAAATATTAAAATTTTCTTGCTGTCAATGATGAACAACGGGAGAGGGGAGGTGCCAACTAAGAACTTTTAACCACTTTATAGATTTTTGACTAGTTTATTTTTTTAAATATAAGGAATATCTTCAAAATAAATTTAAATAAATGAGAAAATTCAATTAATAATTAAAAATTAAACGCCACATAAGGAAGATAAAATAAAATATGCTTACATGTAAAGAATGACTTTTAGGGGAGCCATCTTCTTAATATTCTCCTTGGACGAGAAGTTATATATTGAAGTATTTGTTCTGGAGGTTCAACCTAAATAAAAAAATGTATATAAAATTTCAATTTCAGACTTTCATCAAATAACTGAAGAAAAAATTTATTTTTCATTATAAAACAGATATATTTGCCTCGAAAATCACACAGTCAATATGTGAAATGTAGTTGCACTCGTTGCAGTGATAAACATCAAGCTCTGGGTTTCTTTGTGTTTCACATGTATCACAATAGTACTCTCCAGAATCACCTTTGGTCACAGTTGTGAGTACAAGAGGATGCAAATGATGTTTGTGCTTGACTAGTGATGGTAGTTGAATACATTCAAGATGAATGTAGAACCTACACTCAAGGAAGCACCACAAAGTGTTCTCACAAGCTTGACCACATGCAGAACATCAGGGAGATTTATCACCAAAAAAACTTTTCCCCAAATGTAGAAGATGGTGATCGGGATGACAATCATGTTTCACTTCACGAAATTGATCGTTAGCACATGTATAGCGCATGACGAATTCACATGCCATACAAGCGAACAATAATTCTTCGTTAATCACTGACTTGCAGCCGAAGCAATCAAAATTATAGGAGACCAAGGATGGTAATATGCAAAGAGGATGTTGTGTATGAAATGGGCTTTGAACTTCCACCAACATGTCCTCGAAACAGGATTCGTGTCGAAAGAATTCACAATAAATGCAAGTATATATTATATTGCAAAGATGTTGTTTGCATGCTCTGCAAGACGCATCAAACTATGAGCCCATTTAGAAAATATTAAATTTGCACCTTGTAAGTTGATGGAGGTGACTAAAATGGTTGATCGTGGTTTTAATTTTTATTTCTTTATGGGTTTTATCCTTTAAATGAACAAAGTAGATATACTTATTGCACTCAAGAATTTACTAAAGTACCTTAAAGATACAATGGATTGAAAACTAGAATTTGTTGACTATCTTGTAGTCTTAGAGTGATATTGTGATGCTAACTTAGTTATCAATAAGGTAAGCTTTATGAGTGGGTATATCTTCAAGCTAGGCAGGGTAGCGATTTTGTGAAAATCTTCCAAACAAACGTACATTGCTTGCACTACAGCAAAATTGTTCTACAGCGGCGTTTTTAGCGGCGTTTTGGGAGAAAATGCCACTAATTTTAAACATATTGCGGCGTTTACATAGCAAACGCCACAAAATGGTAACTTTAGCGGCGTTTTTCTTAAAAACGCTGCTATAAAGTAGTACTTTAGCGGAGTTTTTATACAAACACCGCAATAGGTTCATCCATAGTGACGTTTTTTCAACAGACGCCGCAATAGAGTAGTACTTTAGTGGCATTTTATACAAATGCCGCTAAAGACTCGTACTTTAGTGGCGTTTTTATATATAGACTTGTACTTTAGTGAGATTTTTATACAAACGTCGTTATACAGTTGTATTTTAGTGGCGTTTATATACAACGCCGTTATACACTCGTACTTTAGTGACGTTTGTGTTACAAAGGTAACCTTTTTTTCATTTTTCCCCCTTCACCCATTTTTCATTCCCGCGTTTTACCCAAACCCATCTGCTTCAATACCAAACTCCAAACCCCAAACCCATCTGCTTCACTACCAAACCCCAAACTCATCTGCTTCACTACCAAACTCCAAACCCCAAATCCATCTGCTTCACTACCAAACTCCAAACCCCAGACCTATCTGCTTTGCTACCAAACCCCAAACCCATCTACTTCACTACTAAACCCCAAACCCATCTGCTTCACGGCCATTTTTACGCTCTCTGATTTTGATTCCCTTATCCACATTTCCCCCAACTTTCAAATCCTCGTTTTTCATTCTGCGAAATTTATCGTTAACACCGACACCAGTCATTGTTGTTCTTTTTATTTTGATTTTGATTTCGTGGCTTTGGGTTTTGCTTTGGACTTTGGTTTTATCAATGCAAGGTCGCCCTTTGCTTTGCTGCTTATTTCTCACTGCTATAAATAACGACTCTCTTTTCTCATTTCTTTTTCCATTTCCATTTAGTTTCAAAGAAGGCAGAATCAGGAGAGAAAAATGAAGTACGTTCTTGTTCACCCCCACCGAGTCGGTTATGAGCGCAGCTTCTACAATGAGTTCTTCTTAAGCGGTCTTCGTGTCGACAGGGTCAAGCTTGGTTTCGTTTCCTGCACTTTCAAAGTCCCTCCTCGCCTCATCCTAAGCTGTCCCCAATAAAACCCTATCTCAAATTCCCTGGAATTAGAATTCTATCAGATCTGGCTTCATTTCTTTTTGTTGAATAAATTGACTTTGGTAGGATAAAAATGGGAATTTAGCAGCGGGGGCCATTTCATTTCTGGGAACTACTAAATTCAATAATGAATTTCTAGCTCCTTTGCTATAGTGAGTTGCTTTTAATTTAGTACTGATCATGTCTTACGATGCATCGACTGTTTTCAGAAAGTCATTCACATCTGTTAATTATTTCTTGATTTTGGGCGTATTTTATGCTGCTTGAATCGGTTAGCCGATTTGATCATGAATTAAAGTAGCCTGAGTTTTTCACCATCTGAATTTGGACCTATAGAAAGATATGCTAGTTGAAAATTGTAACAAAGGACGTTAGATCAGGTAATGTGTTTACAATTAGGTTTTTCAATTTGATTCATCCTGGGTTTCAAATCTTCCTTGGATTTAAGTTAAGGGGCTTTAGATTATTGATTTATATGATCAAATCCAGTTGAGTTTCGTATTTTTTTTGGTTTCGAGTCAGAATTTACAGGTCTAAACTTATATCACGCCTCTTGTTTTGAAGCTGAAGGAAGAATTGATAGAATATCTTTCCATAATCCTACTGGTTTTTCTGTAGTTGGTTCTCTTCAGTCGTGTATTATGATCCATTACAGATTATAATCCCACTGGTCTTTCTTCTTTCACATTAGTTAATCTGTTTGTAAGAGAGTTTGGTTATACTGCTTTTAATACGATCGGAGGCCATTTGCAGGATGAGTTAGAGATTACCTTAAATGCTTTAGGACAAAGAGGAGGTTATGATGGAACAATTGTTCTTGTTAGAAACAAAGCAACAGGGGAGTTAATTGCTGAAGGTCAGCATTCGTTTCTATTATTACCTATTTACCTTGATCAACTAACTTAATATTTGATGGGACATATCTGAAATCTGGTTATACAAATATTCCCTTAAATTCGATTAGATTTTTTTATCAGTGCAGAATGCTGATGGTGGTTTTGCTACATATGAGCTGACAAGATCCTATCAGTGGATGGAGGAAACTGCTTGACACGTATATGGCCTTATAATTTTCCCCTCTTCACATTAAACACACACAAAATATATACACACACAGACAGATGAAGAGACATATACACGAACATGCATACACATTATCAATTAAAAGCAAAAAGGTTACTTAGAAAAGAAAGCGCTTCATTTAATTTATTTGAACCAGGGGAAATGAAATTAGAGGAAAACTCTGCTTCTTGAGATGAAATCATTGTTTAGGAAAGATAGAGTTAACATATGTGCAGTATACTGTTTGTTTATGGTTTAGTGTTTACATTACTATTATTAATTATTATTAGAACAATTTAACCTTTATAATTGTCAAATATTTTTGCATTTTGTAATGTGGCCTGTATAATTGCACTGTTTCATGTTTCTCCCATTTTAAGTTGATCAATCCTGCTGAAACTCTTGGCGACATAGTTATCGACTACCCGTAAGTTCCTAGCTTACTTCATTTTCTGTATAAGTCATTTTTTTTATAATTGATTACATGCTGATTTGATGTTTATGGAGTGGCAACATAAATATGTTGAATGCACCTCAGCAACAATTCAAGCACTAGCCTCATTCAGGAAATTATATCCTGAACATAGAACAGAAGAAATTCAAAATTGTATTGGTAGAGATGTTGGGTTTGTCGAAAGATGCAGGCAGAAGATGGCTCCTGGTTCATTTAGAACTATTCCATAATCTATATCTTTTACGTGTGTACTTTGTAATTATTTGTCTTTATAGATTCTGCTACTTCGAGCAATTCTTCAACATAGCAAACTCAGTATCCATTGCTGAAGAACTTGCTTTGTGCTGTCATTTTTTGCTAGGTATGGATCCTAGGGCATCTGCTTCAGTTATGTAGGATTCATTTACTTATAAGAAGGAGATGCAAAGCAAGAAGTTTGATACTTGATTTTAGGAATTTACTAATTTAAATATTGATTCTTTATTCTTATGAATTTATATTAGAATATTTTTTTCTTAAATATTTTTTTTATTTCCTTATTCAATAATCCTAATTTATGGTCACAAAGATTATAAATCCTATAAATATGTAATGTCATATGGTTATTTTTTCTCAGGCGATAAAGTATAACAAAAGGCCTTTTGGTAACGATTTGAAGTATCATCCTATAAATATGAGAATTGCTTGAGGTTTTCAATAAGAATTTACTTAGAGCATTAGCAAAAGCTCAAGTACGTACTCATCGCAGCTATTACAGGAACTGCAGGCTTTGCTGGTTATCTCTCTTACAGTAAGTCTTTTTTCTTTTGATTAAGATGGGTCATTTGTGATTTAATTTATATTACAATTTAAATGTGGGTTTTTAATATGATTAAAAATGTATATATTTTTTAAAAAATTTAATTAGTTTTGCAGAGTGTTCGTACGAGGAAGTAGATCAGAAGGTAAAGGCATTGCGGGTTGCTGCATGTTTTGCTCCTAGTGAAGATGCATCTGCTGTTGATGTATGTTTGAGTTTGTTTGGAATTTTATCATTTTTAAATGAATTTTCTCATTTTAGCTTAGTATTTGAATAATGTTGTTCTAATTGTTCAATCTTTTTTAGTAAAATTACCTTTACAAGAAGTTGTTTTAATTGTTTACCATTTAATTCTTCGATTTGAATTTTGTAGGAATGATCTTGCAGATGGATTACTGGAGAGGCTTTAAGTAGCAAATTTCTGGTTGCTGGTCTTGAGGACATTCATATATCATGTGTTTCTTAGTGTTGGTAGGACTTTTTTTATGTGTTTTAATCAACTGTCCTAAACCTTCTCTTACTTAAGTAGCATTTTGGTGTCTAAACTTATGTAACATCTAGCTTGATGTTTCAGTACCCACCGAAGATTTATTTATTTAACTTGGATGTTTGTAAACTTTGATTTTTTTAATATTTTTATAGAATGGTAATGAAATTTAAGACGGTTATTGGATATTGTTACAAGTTCAATTTGGGTAATACAAAATTGGAAGAAGATATGTTGAAAAGCAGATTCGATTAGCGGCGTTTTAGGGGAAAACGCCACTAACAGAATGCATATTTGGCGGCGTTTGTTCTAAAAACGCCGCTATAGAACTGACCTTTTGCGACGTTTGTATTCAAAAACGCCGTTATAGATCTGACCTTTTGCGGCATTTGTTCCAAAAACGCTGTTATAGATCTGACTTTTTTTGTATCCAAAAAGCGTCGCTATATGACTGACCTCTTGTGGCGTTTTGTTTTAAAAACGCCGCTATAGATCTAACCTTTTGCGACGTTTGTTCTGAAAATGCTGCTATAGATCTCTACCTTTTGCGACGTTTATTCCGAAAACACCAAATAGATATCGACCCTTAGAGGCGTTTGTTCCAAAAACGCCGCGATAGATCTTGACCTATTGCGGCGTTTTTTGTTTTCAAACGCCGCTAACTTTAGCGGCGCTGGTATGATTGGCGCTTTTTGCAGCGTTCTTCCAATCGCCGCAAGTGCTTTTAGCGGCGCTTAAAAACGCCGCTATAGAACTAAAAAACGCCGTTAAAACTCTATTTTGCTGTTGTGTTGGTTTCTATATTTTTCACGCAGAACTACATATTTTAATGGTTTTAAGCAAGAAACTGGTCTCCCAACATCACCGATCATCCTATACATGCTCCTAAAGATTCATCAACATATTCAATGCATGAAAAACAACTCTTGTGTGCCAAATTTCATGATCAATAACATCATATATAAAAATGTAAACCACTAAGTACTAATTCATGCAATTTTTCATTTTTTTAGGTATCTCACTAATCATTTTCGGCTCTGAGAATTATTTACTTAATCTAACAAGTATAACATATCATATACATGCTTTATGACTTATCCAAATCAAGAAAGTAGTATGAACAAATGATTTGACCTTTCAACTCAAGATTCGTATGATTTTTACGTACAAAACATACACACGAGCATACTATTGACTAGTACACCAAAATTTTGGTTGTATTATACTAATTCCCAAAACGTAAAGTCACATATCGCCATATATCATATGCAAACTATTTATTCCTTATTATCGATTGCCTTTGAAGGCCATGTTCACTTCCCTTACTTCTCCTCCTCTAATCACCATTTTTCAACTTAACCCCTTATCCAATACCCCACCAGGCCCAAAACCCAACCAATACCCAGAACCCAAAATACAACCCGGGCAGCCCCAGACCCGACCCGAACCAACTAAGACCTTGCCCACCGCCCAACCCACCAATCAACACACACCGTTCTCTGCCCTAATACTGGCCAAAGCCATCTCGTGCACGCCATCATCTTCACGCCTGCAGAAGACAAAAAAACAAGGAAAAAATAGTTTGAATTTTTCTATTTTTCTGTAAAATGGGTATAAGAACCCGATGGCAAATCATGTGTACTCTGGGTTTTTTTTGGTTTTACAACTTTGTAACTTTGTTTTTCAAAGCAATAAACTACAACTGCATTCAAGGTTAATATTTTATTTTGCTTTTCTATTTCGAGCATTTTTTTTGTTTTCTCTGTTTTTTTAGATTCGAAACTCTGTAAAAAGGAAGGCTCCTTTTAGTTTTGAGGGACCAACGTTTATTAGGTTCGTTAAAAAAATGCAGTAATATTGTGGGTCGATCCCTCCCTTTGATTTAAAAAATGGAAGCTTTATTCAAATAATAACCATTTCGCAGTCAAAACAATACGAAAATAAAAAAGAGGGTTAGATCGGTTACCTTCGAGTCGAAAAGGAGCCGCCGTTGGGTCGCCGGAGTTGGGTCGCCTGGAATTTATACATGTTTTTACAGTTTGGTCCCTTAAGGGACCAAAAAAGTAATTTGACCTTTTTTGTGTATACATTGTTTTTTTGGTTTATTTGTATTTTAATCCCCTCAACTTACCCACGTTTTTGAATGCGTAGTGATCTTTTAATTTTTTTAAAATCTGTGGACTAACTTTATAATTTTTCCTTTTTATTTTAACAAATTTTTTAAGCTTAAATAAATGGTTTATTTTTCTTTAGGTACCTCTAATTTCATGATTGTTTTTGTATTTTTGTCCCTAATTCGTTTATTTTTATTTTGTTCTAATTTAGACTTCAAATTTTAATTTATTTTAATTTAGTCCCTTATTATATGTTTCATTTATTTGTTTTTGAGCTTGTAATTAAATTTTATGCAATTAGGTCATTGTACTTATTTTTTTATTTTTTATTTTATGTTGTTTTTACTGTTTTTTTGTTTTTTTTGTTTTTTTTTTATTTTTTAAAATTAAGTTTATTTATTAATTGTTTTGTTTCATGGTTTATTTCTTAGATAAAATTTTAAATTAGATTAATATTCGAATGAAGCTTACAAATTAAGATTTCACATTATTTTTAATTAGGGAGCAAATTAAGTCGAGTTTTCGCAATAGATGCCTGATTATTCGAATCGATTGCTCGACTTTTAAAATTTATTAATAATTAATATTTTCTAAAATATTTTAGGTTTAATAATTTAGATAGAATTAGGTTTTTTGATTTATTAATTACTCCTCAACCTTAGAAATTATTTATTTAGGTCCTTAAACTTTTAAATCTTTTACAAATCGATATTTTTAGAACTTGACCTTTTAGTCCCCGAACTTCTATTAGTGTTTTAATATTGGCATAATTAAATATGTTAAATAGAGCCTCCACTTTTAGTTAGATTTTAAACTAGTCCTCTAATTTAGGGAATAATTCGAGTCGACCCTTGCCTAAGTGCTCGAGGAACCATCTCGATTATTCGATTCAATAACTGATTTAAAAATCAAATAGGGTAAATATTAGAGCCTACATTTAGGTTTAGTCCCCTAGGTTCCTTAATTTTCATAATTTGACACCATAAGCTAGAAAAAACCTTTAATTTACCTTAGCTTAATTAGGATTAAATAAAATTTTGTTTGATTGCATTGTTTTTAAACCTAAGGCAATGTTCACGTATTAGGGAATTAATGATATATCTCCCGCAAGTATTGCTTAGGGGGTGACTACCGG